CTCATGTGTGTACGGCTAAAAATCGCACACGGAAAAAGTATTGTAGTAAAAATTACCACAAAATTGCATAATGCCGGGCCATATCGAAATTATGATGTGTATATTGTAATCTTTAGTGATGTGAAATACGCCACCAAACTAACATTACAACGCACATCATAATTTCAATCATAATTCCGACATGGTTCAATATTGCAAAATTTGGTGGTAATTTTTACTACAATATTTTCTCCGTATATAATTTTCGATCTAGGAAATAGCGATACATACATATTAAATATACACAATGTGCACAATGACACAATATGCACATCATTCAATTCATTCAATTCCGAGTGAAAATATTCGCTCGGCTTCGGTGACTCGGCAGTTGCTCCACTTTCTAAGTGGAACTTCGCTCGAAGAAATTCAACGTTCACGATTCGCGGAAACCGTCGATATTTCCCTGCACGGAGAATGAACCAGCGTAATTTCAGAGAAAGAGAGAAAGAGAAGACCGTACATAACGAAGCGATTGAGGAACATAACGCAACGTAACCAAGTACGCGCACCATGGAAGGCGTGTTATCCGTGCGCGCCGGGTTTCCGCGATGGAGACCGTCCGGTCGGAGGGAGCAGATCGGAGGGACGTCGTTGTCTCCGCAGGCCACTGTCATATTGTCCCCGGCGGATCGATACGTGGCCTCCTGCCTACAACCTGCACTCATCGAGCTTGAAGAGGGCGTGGCTCGTACACCGGCAGAGAGACACTCAACCCCGTTGCGATCTTCCGCCGTGCGCACGTCCCTCCATCCCCGCGGCTGTCGCCGAGAGAGCCGGGAGTGAGAGACGATTTCGTCGTCGTCGTCGTCCTTTCACCCTCCGCGGTTCGCCCGGCGACCTCCGGCGCGTCGTCAACGAGCGCTCTCATTCGTCGAGAACGTCGTAACAGGGGAGCAATCACGTAGCTGCGCTCGCAGATTTCTCGGAATAATAACTTTCGCTCTTTCCGCCCTCTTCTACCCTTCCTCTCTCTCTTTCTCTCTCACCCTCTCGTATTTTGTCATTTATAATTTAAGGACGAGTGTAGTAATTTCGCACGTGCGAGCTCCCCCTCGGAAAGTACAAATCGCGCTCGCGATACAGTTTGAATTATTTGACTTATTACTCGCGTTTAAGCGAAAGACTGAGAGAGAGAGAGAGAGAGAGTGCCAGGAGATCCTGTAATGGCGCTTCGCACACTCGCGCGCCCTAAATAACGACCGTATACAGCAATACGTCATGTTACCGCGGAGAAATATGAGCGGGATATTTGTTGTGCTGTGCTGATGAATGATCGGGGCGCAACCGAGCAGGACCACTCCGAGTCCTCCTTCCTCTTCCTCCTCCTCCTCTTCATCTTCTTCTGCGAAGGAGCGAGGATAGAGATCGAGCGAACACTCTCCGTGGTCGGTCGCGACTTCGTTCTCCACTCTTCCTTTTTCTCCCCTTTGCTCTTTCTCCTCGTCTCTCACCCTTCCCTCCTAGCCGCCCTTTCTCCCTCCTCTCTCTCTTTCTCTCTCGTCGTTGCTATCCTGGAAGGGTGAGCGCGCGCGCGCACATTCGTTGTCTTTCGCCGGTGTTGTTGGCGCAAGGTTGAATCCACGTGGGGGCGTGTCGCCTCGATGGCGCCGGCTGCTAATGGCCGCGCGGCCCTCCAGACCTTAATTTCCTGCCGCTTCCGCGGACCCTCTCGCTTTTACCTCTCCGCGTCCAAATCCGCCCGAGATCCGCCAGCCTCTCCCGAGCCCTTCGGTAGCCGCCGAGCAACGCGCGCTCTCTCCTTGCCCTCCCGTCTGTGCTCTCGCCGCCCCCGCGAGGGTGATTTGCATGGAACTGCTCTCTTTTGATGAAGTTCGTTATCCGAAGTTTCGGCCCGGCCTCTGTCGTCCGCTCTAATTTTTCAGCCACTCAAATTGGGCTCCCTCTAATTCTTCTCACCGCTCAATCGCGCGCTCGCGTGTCCTCTCTCTCTCTCTCTCTCTCTCTCTTTCTCCCCCTCTGTCTTTATAGCTTTAAGGACCGACAGCGATGTGGAGGAATCAGTTGTAAGACTCGTTTCCTTTCATCAAACTTGCTTCCTTTCATCATACCCGACAATAACAATAATGTTAGGCCTACGAGGACTATTCGCGTTTTCTCTCGCTCACTCCATCTTCGCGTTTTGTACAAGACGCTGTATCCCACTCCGAATTTTCTATTATTAAGAAAAAAGGAGTTGATTAATGGACGGAGAAAAATCTATTTGCATTAACCAGAAAAGGAACAACCCAGATGCGTTCTGGTTGAAAGAAACAGAATTTCCGATTCTTATGATTCAAATGCGGTTCTTATAATAAGAAATTCTATTTCCTTCAATCAAAATACATCCGACTGTTCCTTCCTGGTTAATTAAACAAAATTTTTTTTCGTGTGCTTATAATCGGATCTTATATTTATCGTCTTAAGTTCGGGCGTTCCGTAGCCAATGAAACGATTCATACAGCATTTGAAGATGAACTTAGGACGATTTTTAAATATAAAATCCGTCTATGGATATCGTCTCAAATGACCACTGCTGTTATCAGCTTGATCCAATGAAATGATTGATTTCATGGCGGCAATCCCCCAGTCTAAACTGAGAAACCCATTTAATTGAATAGACAAAATTCTTGTCCGAATATGGACAAACACAAATATTTTAGTTATAAAAATGAAGATTTGATTCTCTGAATTAAAGGTTGCTTTCAGAGAACCAAATCTTAGTTCTTATAACCAAAATATTTGTTTAACCATATTCACAAGAATTTGATTGATTCGACTAAGTGGGGTTTTCAGTGTACAGAGGCAATAAATTCAAATCGATAATAAACTTGATAATTCATAAAAGGCCAAAAAATGCAAGAAACCACAGTTTTTACCATTTTTCTCGTAACCTATAATATGGCTTCAGCGTCAAAATCGCAAATGTTGCTCTCAGGATGAATTTGGATTAATCATGGATAATTCGCCGCGTCTCCTTGAGAAGTTTTCCATCTCGTTATCTGAGTATTCGCGATCATAGTACTCTTCCTCGTGCTTCTCGCGTTTTTCTTACACGCTCCCGATTAATACAGTCAGCTTTCGCGGAAGGAACATCCCGCTCGCACATCTCATTCCGAGACTGGACCGACACACTCGCACGCCACGACGAACGGGCCGATTCTCATCTCCGGTACGTCCGTTGCGTCTTCCCACGAAACAACGAAGACGCCTACATCTTGATAGACCCGTTCTGAAATACAGCGTCGTGGAAAACGTACGTCGACCTTGTGCTTGATTCGAGATCAATTTGCATGAAACCGGTCTAGGGTAGAGAGCCCGGGCCCCACGAGCACCTCCATTCGGCTCTCATTACTTTCAGCGACTAATCTCCGATCTCTTCTAGGATAGGAGCGGCAATTTAGTGTCATTATACGCCCTTAGGGGAAGAGCTTTCTTCTCTGTCTCTTTCTCTCTCGCGGCTAGCTTGGGCCCGGGTTGGGCTGGGACTTCTTTTTAAATCGATTTAGACGCGGCGATTATGGACGTCCCCACCGACCGCGCCAGATTTCGATATTACGAACCGCGCGCCAGCACGAAAAAGTATCCCGATGGTCGGTCCTGCGAGTCGATACGCACGATATGTAATTCGTCCCCCGCCGCCCTCCCCTCCGGAGCCGTTATTACCGATTTGCGTAATCGCGCCGACGAGATTGCTCCGTAACGAGCGCTTCCGACGTGAAAAATTTCGTGGAGACCGGTAATGCGCGCGAGCGTGTTGTTAACACATTGTAAACCGACGATAGAGATCATGCGGCTGACGACTTTGTCGATCGTGCTTCATCGAGAATTTATTAACTCGCGTGCATCTCCTGTAGAAAATTCACTGGGATCTAATTGGGGTCAAATCCTGGGAAACTTTGATTGGGAAATCTACGCATATTCGGAGTTAGAAGTGTTCTAAACACGTGAATCCAAATATATGTCGTATATATTTCGATGTTACATCCATATTTGGTAATTACTAAATGTTGAGATTCTATTATGAATGAAGTTAGCGTACGTTAGATTTAGGCCAGTATTCATAATCATACCTTATATTTAAGACCATCTTGAGTTCATCATCAAATGCATTATAGCCAATGAAACGATCCGCATCTGAAGATGAGTCGATCTTATATATAAGATTTGACTATGAATATCTCCCTTAGACTTCATACGGATTAAAATAATTTTGCTCTTGTAGCAAAATCATCGTTGCTATTGCATAATCGTTGCAATAGCGATAAAATTTAGTTGACATTGCCACATTAGCGAATTATTCGTAATTAGAGTAGAGATAGAATAGAAAAATTTACTGAGTGAATTTGTCTTTACAGTAGGGAAAATGTTAAAAACGATCCACTGAAATTTTGTGTTATTTTAACATAAGGAATATGTTGAAAAGTACACAAATATAATATTAAATTAACACATTCACGTTATTGTTAAAGTAACATAACATTTCAGCGAACGGTTTTTAGCAAAAAAATTGTTCACCGTGTAGGACATGTTAATTTGCTGCTGGAACTAAATAGTGTTTTTCCATATCTACTAATTTGTTCTTACAACAAAATAAGTCGTAAATTTAACAAAATATATTCAGCGAATGGCAATTGGTACTCTTAACAAATCGCTTTGTCTTCCACACAGTAACTGACAGATTTTGCTGTGACAGCATAAAATTTTCCAGCAAGTGATTTTGATCCGTGCGAATTCGAGTAAAAATATTGATTCGACGATTCACTCCGTATGAGCGAAAAAGTCACTTGAATTCCAGCGTCGCCGCCTTATATATTGATTTAAGTGAAAGAAATTTCGGGAAATTGAGAAAATATCACAATGATAGGATAAGCAATCGGTATAAATTTGGGTATTTCGTTCGGTAAGAAAGTCTCCCCAACGAAAGCACTAAGCACGGGCCTGTTCTCGGGCTGTTTCAGGATCATCCGGGATTACGAGGCACACCGCTGGCCATGTTGGCGGCGCAATGCAACAAGCTGAGCAGCAAGAGCCCGCCGCCCCTGGCGGACGCGGCCGTGGGCAAGGGTTTCCACCCGTGGAAGAAGAGTCCGCAAAGCAGCGGCAGCTCGCCGCAGCACACCGGCGGGTGCACAACGACGGGAGTGAGCCAGAGACCGGCGGCGACGAGCAGCGCCGGCAGCACGAGCGGAGGGTACGCGCGAGCGCCGGTGACATCCTGCGCCTCGACAGCACCGCAATACGGTAGCGAGCTGTACTTTCCCGGGACCGCGAGCGCCCAACCGGCCGGCGACCCGCACCACCACCAGAGCAGCCTGCTCGGCAAGGTCGAAGGCGCGACCCTGGGCTCGGTGTACGGCAGGCACCCGTACGAGTCGTGGCCGTTCAACGCGATGCCGGGCGCGACGCACGGCGGTATCAAAGCGAGCGACGGCTGGTGGGACGTGCACGGCGCGGCGACCGCCGGCGGTTGGCTGGACGTGAGCAGCACCGTCGGCGTCGGCGTGCACGCCGCGCAAATGGCCAATTACTCGGCCGACTATTCGACGAGCCTCGCACTGGCCGGCAATCACCTGCTGACCACGGCGACTACCGCCGGTCACAATCTACTGCAAGACACGTACAAGTCTATGCTACCGGGTGGGCCGCCCGGTTTCGGGCTGCACCACCACGCGGCCGCGAGCGCGGCCGGCGCCGGCGCCGGCGCCGGTAGTCCCCAAGGCAGCGGCGGCGGCGTCGGTGTCGGCGGGGCCGGTGTGAGCCAGGCGCCGTCGCCGCGCTCACAGAGACGCTACACCGGTCGCGCCACCTGCGATTGCCCGAATTGTCAAGAAGCCGAGAGACTCGGTCCCGCCGGCGTGCACCTCAGGAAGAAGAACATCCACAGCTGCCACATACCGGGTTGCGGCAAGGTCTACGGGAAAACCTCGCATCTGAAGGCCCACTTACGGTGGCACACTGGTGAGCGACCGTTTGTTTGCAACTGGCTTTTCTGTGGCAAGCGGTTCACACGTTCGGATGAGTTGCAGCGGCACCTTCGAACCCACACCGGCGAAAAGAGATTCGCCTGCCCGGTCTGCAACAAGCGGTTCATGCGCAGCGACCATCTCGCGAAGCACGTCAAGACCCACAGCAGCAGCAGCAGCAGCAGCGGCAGCAAGGGCAAGGGGGGAGCGGGGAGCTCGTCGGCAGAGTCCTGCTCAGACAGCGAGGACAACGGGAGTCAGCAGAGTCCCACTTCCAGCTCGGTGCCGCAGCCGCAGCCGCCGCAGCAACCACCACAGGCTCAGCAGCAGCAGCAGCTGGCGGCGGCGGCGGCGGCGGCAGCAGCGGTGGGCCAGGACACCAGCAACACCACCTCCCCCCAGACCACCACCACCACACTCGGCCATCAGCCGACAACACCCATGACTCCAATACAGATGACCCCACCGCCTCTGACCCCACACCATCCCCACCACCCGCATCTCCCGCCTCTAATGCACCATCCTCATCATCACGCAACCTCCGTGCCGGCGGCGGCCCACCACCCGCACGCGGGGATGAGCATGCACTGAGCCCGGTGGGGCCCGGAGCCGGTGCCTGCGGTAATGCCGCTGCCGCAACGGCCCTGGGCTCCCCCCTATCCTACCCCCTCAACCTGAACCTCATGCAGAATCACGCGAGCATCAATCCGTCTGCCTCCCACCACCAACACCAAAACCACCATCATCATCACCATCACCATCACCACCACCAGCAGCAACAACAACACTCCCGACAGAGCAACTCCTATTCCGTGCAACAGAATCCTGGCACGCCGGGGACCGCGCAGACTCCCTCACCCTCGTCCCCCGCGCCTGTACATAGTCTCTAAGCGGTTTTACGAACGAGCGCGCGCGCGCACACTCTCTCGTGTCCGACTTACTACCGACCACCACCACTAATCTATTCACAGCACTTGTCCGTCCGCGGCGTTCACGTATGACGCGCAGGCACGATTATACATAACACACGTATAGACACACGGAGAATATACATGACGAATCTGGCTCCCCGTCCCGAATACGGAATACGCTCCTCGTAATACGCATGTATGCGGATATTTCAGGATTTCTCGTTTGTACATAATATACATATATATATATATATATATATAAATATATAAATATATATAGTGTGCGAGAGAGAGAGAGAGAGAGAGAGAGAGGCAGAGAGAAAGTGAGAGAAAGAGTAACAAAGAGTGAAAGACAGAGAGGTGAAACGATATTATATTAATTAAGCGGTGTAATGTTGTAAAAAGGTAACCCGTATAAATATATAAATATATAAATATAAATATACTTATATATATATATATATATATTATATATATAAAGAAATATGTGCATAAATATATATATATATACGCGTGTGCGCATGTGTGTATATATTTATATACGTATATATAGAAATATATATATATATATATATGTATATATATATACACATAATGCACTCGTCGCGATGTATCATACACCAAGAACGGAGGAAACTTCGCGCCTCGACCGCCTCTTCTCTTCCGTGCGAGCGCGGGAGACGGGAGACGGGTACGAATTCGGAGGAGAAACTACCGTGGAGTACACACACACATACACGCGTTCGGTTCATCCACGGACAGGTTCCAAACGACTTCATATACCACACAGGGCCTTGAGCGTTGTCTAACGAGAAAGTAATTACTGATTTCCCTTCAGCGAATTTAGAATTCTTTCCGGGCAATTTGTTGATTGCGTTTGGAACTTGGACCCACGAACGATAACCCATATCAGCCCACCCCTCCCCCCTTTGGATGTAGTAACGCACTATTATCAATGAATTATTATTATTAATTAATTAATTAATTAATTATTATCATCATAATTGTATAATATTATATAATGATGATATTATATAATACTATATAATTATATTAATTATATAATATTATATATGTCCTATAATATTATATAATATCATACAGATACAATTATTATTAATTATATATATTAATTATTATTATTATTAACTCTTCTTATTACTGTATTATTATATGAAAATTATAGAAATTCATTTTAAAGTGAGAAAGAGAAAATAAACAATGCTTTTGTGAATAACGGAAATTCTACTTGATCGAATTCTTCTCTCACTTGACCCACGATGCTCCTCATTTTTCCGACCTCAACTTTCCCCCTAAAAAACTCCTTTACTTGTAGAACCGTCCCTACCCAACTCGACTTTTCTTCACTTGTTGCCGATTCTTCAAAAAGTGAATCATCTTGAAGGGACTGACGTCACTGTTCCTCGCGCACTGACTCGCACAAGCCGAGTGCGGGCTCACCCGCGAGCCTCTCTCGATAATGATTAATTCCGTCGCACGCAGGAGAGGAGTGTATTCATAAGAATCCGCTCCGGAGAGCCGCTCCCCGACGCTCGGCGCGCGATACTCGAGGGGAGAGCGCGCTCGTAATGCGCCGATATAAAAAGGTCTCGTAGCGGTGAGGAAAAGAGCGCGACGGAGCGCGCCGGGACACGAGCTCCCGGGACGATATTATCGCACGGGCCGTTAAATCCCAGAGCCTGCCAACCGTGAAATGTCCCGTCATAACATCAGACCTCCCCCGCTTTCCCTCTCTTTCTCTCTCTCTCTCTCGCTCTCCGTCGTGCCACTTTATTTTCCCGCCCCAGGATTTCGTCCCGACCTTTCGTCTCCGTTCGGAGATCGCCGATTACGCGATTACGGCGAGCAGACGTCCAACATCGCTCCCCCGACAACGACGACGTCGTCGTCGTCTCGCGAGCGCAACGGAAATGCGTCCGATACGTAGCCTCGGCTCTCGATCTTATTAGCGAGAATGACTCGGCTCGCTCTCTCTTCTCGGCTCTAAACAGCGGAGTAGCCGCGTCATGCGATCATTACGGGCTTCTATAAAGTTGATTCCCCCGTGCATTCCGCCGCCGCCGCTGCCGCTCATAATTGATTATAACACACGCGCGATATTCTTCAAACAATGACAGCAATGGCAATCGTCCCGATTGCGTCAGGAGGAGAGCGCGTGTTCTCAGACGCGCAGCGTTAATACATTACTGTGTAACGGTTCCGTGTCAATCGATCTTCCGCATCCGCCTGCGGCGATTTTTAATGACGATTATTAGCCGGCGTCGCTTTTTTACCCCCCCCCCCC